AAAAAAATTTGAGGGTGAACTGCAGGAATTCGCCAACCATGCATATAGCCTTCGATGTATTCTCGAGTGTCTTCAATCTGGTGGAGTAGCTAATGATGGGAAGATTGTCAGACCAAGTAACCCAACTGAAACACAGCATTCCTTTATTGATGACATTACTTCAGTTACATCTGAAATTGGTGTATCTGAGGAATCTGGTTATTCTAATATAAATGAAAATGAAGCAAAGATGTACCACAATGATGATTCTTCTGACCATGGTCAATCTATAGTACCCCAACCTGACTCGTCTCCAAATGAATCTGATGCTGCACATGTTCTTCCCATGACACCTTCAGGTACTTCAGCTGAAAATAACACCTGCAAACCAGATTATGAATCACAGAGTGATAAAAAAGTTACATCCTTGGATGGTTCAGAAAATGATAGGACCATTCTAAAAAGAAAAAGGAAGTACCGTGTTGATATTCTTCGTTGCGAAAGCTTGGCTGCTCTGGCACCAGCAACATTAGAAAAAATGTTTCTTAGAGATTACGACATCATTGCATCTATGGTTCCACTTCCTGCATCATCAGTTTTACCTGGACCGTCAGGTCCAATCCATTTTGGTCCACCATCATATTCTTCAATGACACCATGGATGAAATTAGTTTTATATACGCTAGCGGGTAACGGACCTCTCTCAGTTGCTTTAATGAAAGGACAGTGTCTGCGATTGCTTCCTGCCCCATTAGCTGGTTGTGAAAAAGCACTAATATGGTCTTGGGATGGTTCCACAGTAGGAGGTCTAGGAGGCAAATTTGAAGGAAATTTGGTTAATGGAAATGTCCTTTTGCATTGTCTAAACTCAATGCTTAAGCATTCAGCTGTGCTAATACAACCTCTGAGCAGATATGATCTTGATGATTCTGGAAGGATTGTCACAGTGGACATTGCTTTGCCTCTTAAAAACTTTGATGGAACAGTTCAACCGATAGGGTCAGACATGGGACTAGACCCAGAAGGAGTTGCAAACTTGGATTCATTGTTAATGGACCTTTCCAGCAAAATTGAGTTATTCACGGTTGGTTATATTCGCCTTTTACGATTGCGAAAGGAAATACAGTCAGGCATGTTGATACCAGATCTTGAATATGAATGGTTTCCTTTGAGCTTGGAATTTGGTATTCCTTTATTTAGTCCCAAATTATGTGGCAGAATTTGTGAAAGGATAGTTTTATCACATTTACTGCAAACAGATTCACTTAGTGAGCACCATGATGCAATGCAAAGTCTAAGAAAAATATTACGTGAACTATGTTCTGAATACCAAGCAACAGGTCCTACTGCAAAGATGTTTTACCAAATCGAACATGTGAAGGAATCACCTCGTCATCTAATCAGCTATGCGAGCGGAAGATGGAGCCCACTGATGGATCCTTCAACACCAATCTCTGGAGCCCCCAGTGAAAACCAGAGATTTAAGTTTACAAATCGACAAAGGGGCAAAACAGAGGTTCTGAGTTTTGATGGGAATATCCTCAGGTACTTGAACAATATATACTGTGGCTGTGTACTTTGGTCATGTCAATTATGAATTGGATTTTACAGTTCTATTGAAAAATTATTTTATCTGAAAATATACATCTTTCCAGTTGGGAAGTGCTAATCAAGCTTAGAAATATCTAAATATATGTTTTGAAATTCAATGAGGTCCTGCAGTTTCCCCTTGTTCATGGTCAATTGGAATTTGTTGCAGTTACCAAGAACAAACTTCTAAAGAGGTGGTAGTACTCTACTTCCTAGAAAATTGACATGAAATCATCTTTTTCAACAATTTCATATTCTGTTGTGTAGAGCTACATTTTTACTTTTTGCTTTGTCTCATGAAAGTATCACATGGATGCAACATTAGCATGTATTTGTCATCAAACATCATTTACTTTGTAGCTATTGTTCTATAAACTGAATAATTATGTCATATGTACATGCATGATAATTTTTATCAAGGAGATTTACGATCCTTGATAGTTATTCTAGTCAATTTTTAATAATTATTTTGATCTTTTCTTTTCTCTCCAATATTCAAATTTTGTAAGTTTTAACATGATAAGAATTACAGAGGACCTCAGAAGCCTCAAACTATTGATAAAACATAAACAGGTCTTATACAAATAAAAAGTCTTACCATAAATTGTCTTACTAATTTTCTTGATCTGTTTTCTTTGTCTTCATTGAACATTTTTTTCTTTTTTTTTTCACTTTTCTAGTATTTATTGCTGAAGTTCTAACTTTTGAACCAGACAAAATGGTAGCAATGGTCCAATCTAGATGAAGACAGTTGTGTTGGATGGTAGTTAGATTGTGGTTGAAAAAGGGATAATAAGGATCACCTTTTTTCTTTTTTTAATTTCACCTTATTTTTACTTTTCCATTATATGTTCTATCTAGTTAGTTTCACTAACCTTGTATGCTAATGCTTGTGAAGCTCGTTCATGACTTATGAAGGGGGGTTAAAGAATATGATAGCCACCTAATGTGTCCCAATTCATTCTCATTGATCCTTGATTTAAGAATTAGATGTAACTTAAATATTTATATCTATGGCTATCTTGGAAGTTCTCTAAGTTTGGTAGTATGTAAGTATTGCCATTATCTTTAGCTTGTTGAGTTTAATATACAATTAACAGGTATCAATCATATTTGAACTGAATGTTACATGGGCCATTCATGTATGATAGTTGAATCCAGAATATTATTTACATTTCCAAACTTCCGCCCACAGGTCCTATGCACTTGCTCCTGTATACGAGGTTACTACACGACATATTGAAGAATCAACTTCTGGCAGTGGAGTAAAACATGAATCAGATGAGGCAGACAGTAGAGAAGTTGTCCTACCAGGTGTCAATCTACTGTTTGATGGGTCACAATTGCACCCGTTTGATATAGGTGCATGTTTGCAGGCTAGGCAACCTGTTTCGCTTGTGGCAGAAGCTTCAGCAGCATCTACTTCTCTGCAAGCAACCAGGATTTCGATATAATCTTTTCTTGAACTACTTGCCGTGTACGACTTCAAAGAGGCTGGCATGTCTTCTATTGGTTACTTGTGCAGATCGTTTTCTGCCTCTTCAAAGATATGTTGTTGCAAAGTTCTGAATTTTCGTGTTTCATAAATTCTTTGATTCTAACAGGCAAGTAAACTAAATATGAATAATTTATCTTTAAGAGGTTATTACTAATTGTTAAAGATGACCAACCAACCGTCCCTTATTCTTCTGAAGAAAAGTGATTGCTTCTAAGATATTTTAAATGTTCAGTTAGAAGTTCAATTAGTCATGCCTGGAAACTTAGAAACTGTCATACAGCAATAACAAGCCTATGATATAAAATTGAAGCCTTAATTCCCTTTTATTAGTTTATGAGCCACTTCATATGTGTACACGTCTTTTAATACAATATTGCAGTTTACTTATACTGGACATCAACTATATGTTATCCTTTCTTTGAATATTATTTTGTTTATAAAATCTTTTTTCTTTGAATCTGACAAATTTTCTTTTGCCACTGCAGGGCCTTTTGCTAATTCAAAATTTTGTTACACCTGTATCATGAAATGAGCATGAAGGCCATTTTCCTTCTAGGGGAAAGGTTCTGTTTTAAAGTTCTAAGTCCACAATTTTCCTTTGTATTTTGGGACAATTTGCATAGGTGATATTTCCTTGTGTGGAAACTTCTGCTTTGAAGTTCTAAATCCACAATTTTCCTATGTATCTCGGGACAATTAGCGCTAAAATGTGAATGCATTGAGTTCTATTTCCTAGGTGGTGCTATTTCCATGTCTTGTATGAATTCACCCCAAGGGGAAACCAACAAATGGTCATCTCCAGTTGGCGAGGTGAGCCAACTGCACATGTTGATTGTAAAGTGCCCTTCCATTTGATTTAGTATTCCTGCTTGGATACGACTGGTTGTGGAGAGAAAATTGCTCATACTGAAGTAGTATGTTCATGCTGTATTCAATTATATTTGGTGACATAAACATGCAGTTTTTCGATCATATAAAAATGAAAATATTCGATAGAGATTGTAACCCTTTTTTTTTTTTAATGTAGTAGGACTCAGAATAAATTCTATAATGCAGTACGCATGAATTGCACTGCGGGTATCTTTGGAAGTATGATTCGATGATGAAATATTTTTTTTATACTTCCATCCAAGGTTCGTCGTACCGTACCGATGTTTTGACCCGGGCTCGGTACGGTACCGGTGTACCGGATGGTACATCAGGGCGTACCGAACGGTACACCCTGATGTATCGAACAATTTTATACTTTTTTTTCATACTGTAGCAGTGCTACAGTATAGTGTCGTAGCACTATAGAGGTATCAAGCGATTCGTGTATCGGTAACCTGTCGGATCGTACTGGACGATGGTACGCTTCGGTATTGCAGACCTTGGATCGCTTGGGTCTAAACATTCCCTAAAATTAAAAAAATAATAATAATCTATTTTTTTAACAATATGAAGCTTGAGTCAAGTCAAAGTTTCTTTTCATGAGGAAGCTAAGTCAAAGTTGACGTACTTAAATCTAAAACGAGTTGAGAATTCAAGTCAACCTTGCATATGCAGATCGTAATATTCAGAGGGAATATGTACTATTATTAATTTTTTAAAACGAGAATGATATTTTTTTTTTAAACTTAAAAGAGAAAAAACAGTGATCCATCGAAATTACTCGAAACTCCGCCGTCACTTTTCTAACCGTTTATTATGTTACCCGCCTAACGTGATTGGGTGTAGGAACCAAACTCATGTGGGTCCCGCCATGCGCGCCGACAGTCACAGCGCAATCATCGTACCCATGCCACCCTGTCAGTGCCGAGTCCCACGTGCACACGATCACGGAGCCACGTGGTGACGGGTAAGATGCAAACACGTGCCGGCAAAAGTGTTCGAGATTTTATGGACGGTCCAGATCAGAGCTCCGCCCATGATCCTCCCTCGTTAGTCAACACACACACACTTCCGGCTGCAATTTGCCATTCTTTCTCTCTTTCTTGCTGCTTCTTCGGTAAGCCCTAAAAGCCAGTGTGGTTCCCATTCGCCGTTGATGGCGGATGAATGGCTCTCCTCCTAAATAACGGCCGACACCGCCGTACCTTCCGCCTATCGTCCTCTTTAGCGTGCGATGGCCTCCGGTTCCCCTCCGCCGACTCACGCCCTCCAGATCCGATCACGCCGCCACGGGAAGACGGGTCGGGAGACGGAGGCTGGGGAGGAGGAGGAGGGGGAAGGCCGGTGCGCCTCTCTCGTGGTCCTCCTCTGCCCCTGCCTCGTTCTCCTGATCCTCCTCATCATCGTCGCCTCCATCGTCCTCGCCGTCAAGTTCCGCCTTTTCTGCCGCGGTCCCTTCCGTGCAACTATCGCCCACCTCATCTACAAGGACAAGTGCCGCGGTTCCTCCTGAACCCTGCATCTCCTTCTTTCTCCACCTCCTCCGGCTCCCCTTCCCCCTCCGACACTGATGCTGATCCCGATGCCGACCCCGATCCCACCTGCTCGACACAATTAAGACCGTCGGACCCCAAGGAGGTGGAGCGGGTGTGCAAGGTAATCGAAGACCTCTTTGTCTCCGACCGAAACATGGAGGCCGTGCTCGATGAGTGCAACATCGACCTCAACCCTTCCCTTGTGATCGACGTCCTCGAACGCTTCCGCCACGCCCACAAGCCAGCATATCGATTCTTTCGGTGGGCAGGTGAGCGCTCAGGATACTCCCACGATTCTGATACCTACACCAAGATGCTGAGCGTCCTCGGGAAGACTCGGCAGTTCGAGACGATGGTGGCATTGCTTGAAGAAATGGGAAACAAGGGATTTCTGAATATGGATGCCTTCAAGATTGCGATCAAAGCCTTTGCAGCCGCACGCGAGATGAAGAAATCCATGGGGATTTTTCAGCTAATGAAAAGATTCAACTTTGAGGCAGGGCTGGAGACATTCAACTGCTTGATTGAAGCCTTGGCGAAAGGAAAGCTCGGGAAGGAAGCTCAAGCACTGTTTGAGAAGTTGAAGGATCAGTACCCGCCTGATCTCCGGACTTATACCCTGCTCCTTCTAGGGTGGTGCAAGCTGAAGAATCTAGTGGAGGCTGGAAGGGTTTGGAATGAGATGTTGGATAAGGGATTCAAGCCAGATGTTGTTGTACATAACACAATGGTTGATGGACTGATTCGGGGACACAGAAGGTCAGATGCGATCAAGCTTTTTGAGCTGATGAAAGCTAAGGGGCCAGCACCAAATGCTAGGACATATACAATCTTGATACGAGACCTTTGCAAGGTTGGAAAGATGGACCTGGCAGTCAATTGTTTCCGGGAAATGCTGGATGATGGGTGTCAGCCGAATGTTGCAACCTACACTTGCTTGATTGTGGGGTTTGGAAATGCACGGCAGATGGATAAAGTTTCAGGATTGCTGAGGGAGATGACCGAGAAAGGATGCCCACCAGATGCACAGACATACAATGCTTTGATAAAGCTTATGACCAATAGGAACTTACCAGATGATGCTGCTAGGATTTACAAGAAGATGATTAACAAAGGCTTTGAGCCAACGTTTCACACATATAATATGATGATGAAGTCTTACTTCCATGGAAATAATTATGAAATGGGCTGTGAAGTGTGGGAAGAAATGGGTCGACAGGGGATTTGTCCTGATGTTAATTCTTACACAGTCTTTATTGGAGGGCACATACGGCATGGAAGGCCACAGGAGGCACACAGATACATAGAGGAGATGATAAGCAAAGGAATGAAAGCTCCTCAGATAGACTACAATAAGTTTGCAGCTGATTTTTCTAGGGTCGGAAAGCCTGATATGCTATATGAGTTGGCACAGAAAATGAATTTCTCTGGGAAGTTTGAGGTTTCCAATGTTTTCTATGGTTGGGCAGAGAGAATGAAGAACAGGGTCAAAAGGAGAGTTCCCAATCAGACTGGGAAATGCCTTTTCTAAGACTAGAGAGTAGTGTCAGGAAGAGAGTTTCCAACCGAACTAGAACAAGCCTTTACTCAGACTATTTGGAACATCTTCGTAACATTTAGTTTATTCTTTTCTTCTGGTATGCAACTATTGAGTCCCTCTTTTAGTATGCCTTGGCACTTCAGAGAAAGTTCAAGAAGGGCTGATGTTTTATGTATAATTTGTATTCAGTCTTTGCAGAATTTCTAGTTTTGTTCTCCTTGTTCGGTGTCTGTAGAAGCCTTAAACTAATTTATCCAGTCATACCTTGTGCATTACTTGCAGATTATTTCATCTATTTTTTCAGTTTGTTGGCTGGACTAATCTGCTTGCTGCTCATATATTCTGCTCCTTTTTTCGCTCTAATATTAATGAACCTACTTATTTGCATTTTCATGCTCTCAGATGATGGAAAGGATACTGAAATTAAAAATCTATTAAACATGTCTCTCGTATTGGATGTTAGTCATGCATTATGAACTAGAATGTCATACAATATTTCACTGTTTCATTTCCTGAACTAGTTATAATCTCTGTATCAAGGTTACAATTATCTGCAGCTATGATAATTCATCATATATGATCCTTGTGGTGTGTCTATGTGTACATAAACACACAAATGACGCAAGCAGAAACTGAAGCTGAAGCAGCAACAAAGGTAGTGAGTCTTGAATCCTTACCATATGGGTGGAGTACTTTTCTTTCCCACTGTTCACCCTATACCCGACGAGTAACCCTGTGCAAGTTTTAATTTGAAAAGGGCCTGGCTAGCAACTCAACGTTCAGTCACATTTCCTCAGAATTTTACATATCTGTTGCCAGCTGCCACAGTAATTAGCTCTTTCACGAGGTTGGGACTTGCTGTGGTTAAGATAGAACATAGTTCAACAGCCCTATAAGGAACTAAGATATTTTCTTAGAAAATCAGTAGGACTTAATTCTACATGATCTATAGATACCTGCCTGTATGCGCTACGTCAGCTGGTATTTAGTGGTCTGACAAAGGACTGATATCAGCTCTTATGGTTTAGCACCGGTCAGCGTGGATTTGGAAATTGATCGGTACAGTGTGTACTGACCAGCATTTAGCGGTTCAATCAAGGACCTGATCTATTTGTAATATTTTGAGATTACCAAAATCATAGTATTGGATGGATAGAGTCCTCCTACAGAACTCTTTAAGAAGAAAACAATTTTGAGTTTTTATGCTTGGAAAAATGGCTTATGATTTTTTTGAAATTGCAATAAGCATTATTGCATCAAAGTAAGTATCTACAGGCTGTTTTAGTTGCTTGTAATTACAAATTATTATAGTGAGAATGTAATGCAACTATAAATTTTACATCCACAGGTAATTTAAATTTTTATTTGATGTCTGTTTGGTATTCGCAATGTACAATTTTCTCTATTGTGGGTTTTAAGACAGGAAGAAGTGCAGTAAGCGGGCGGGGGTTGGGACTGTGACAATTGTGGTGGGTCATAGGAAGCCTAATGGTGTCTAGAGAGCCATCATGTTATAGGCTGTGAGAGGTGCCATGGCTCTAAAGGATGCTGAGCATGGAATTAGATACCGATCCATCCTGGCATACATACAGATGTATCCTCACACCTGAAACATTTTCTTTCTGTATTTTTTTTCCTCATTACAGTATTTTTTATGCATCTAGTCTGACACTGTTTCAGTCTGCAGCTCACACTGATATGAAATGATCCTTGGTGATGATGGTCGAGTTGGGTGTCAAGTGTGGCACTGCAGATTGGAAGGCATGATTAGAGCGACAACAAAAGGTTAAGAGAGTCAAAAGCAGCGGTGGTTCTCAACCGACAACCGGCCTGCAGTTCCACATGCCCGCAAACAACTTAGAATGTGCATACGAGAGAATTTAGTTTGCGACTGTAATGCAGTTTGTATTCACTGCAGTGTGTTGCACATTGTTGAATTCGGATCAACAGCAGGTCTTTCAAATTGTATGTATATACATGTGATTTTTATCAGATCAAGTGGTAGATCAGATGAGAGATCATCCAAAAGCCAGACAGCCCAAGTACTTGGGAAGTTATTCCCTTGCTTTTCTTGCTCAGAATATTTTCTTTTCTCTGTGACAAATTGGCAATTTCCAACTACTTGACCGGTTGCTGCTCTTGTGATGTTTCTATGTGATGGACTGTTATCCCTTTCTTCGGAATTCCAAGTATTTCTTGAGCTCAACACTGTCCCCTCTCTCTTTTTGGCATCATGCTTGGTCGAGTTGAACTCGGATAAATGATTATCTTGTATCTTTCAATAATCCACTTGGGATCAGTCTTAAGTTTATATGGCACTTATGATTGAGTGCTTCCATTTCTTTGTTTGAAGAGTATGCAGTGACATGAATCCCTCCTGTTTTTGGTAGACTCACTCCTCTGATGAAGCCTTTGGCAAATCTCCACTATAGTGCAGTACAATGTACCAAATCCTGACTGCACTTGGGAGGTCACCGTGCATGTTTAGGAACTACTACAAGCAAATAAAGTCTTTTAGTTCTCACTGACTTCTTCTTCTTTTCAATTTGGGACGAGCTGAGAAAGAATCGAGGGGTTGTTCCATTCACCAATGGAAATCCATGCCTCGGTACAAGAACAATATACACAGAAATGAGAATCCAACAAGGATTGGACAAAACATTATAAACACCGCAAGTGATGTGGTCAGAAGCGTATATGGATTCTGTGCTCCTCCTCCTCCTCCTCCTCTTCTTCTTCCCATCCCAATCTACCAGTATTTTCCATCTGTTGGATTAAGAAAAAAATGATCACAATTAAAAGGAAGGAAAAAAATTAAAGAGAGTAGAGGAAGGAATACTTCCATGTAAAAATGAAGAGGAAGAACAGCAGAACTTACATGGAGCTGATCCTGCCGGTGTGCTTCCTGGAACGCCGAAACGAACCGCATCACCAAGTAGAATGGCAACAGGATTCCACTGGCTCTCAGCAGGAACACCTGCAGCGTAAGCCATCACCAAACCCTCGGTAAGTAAGCACACGACGACCGAGGACAAGCATGAGATTGCATAACGTTGTTCTGATCCGATGTCACCACTTACAGTGAGGATGGTGAATGCGTAGCGATCGTCCCCGACCGTGATCACCGCGATGAGATTTCTCAGCAGTAAGATCATCATGAGCTGCGAGCAGATTTAATTATTAACTCGGGCGGCGGTGGGAACTCAAATCTCTGCGGAAACCCCCAATCGCTTACCAGGAGCACGATCGATCGACAGTAGGAAGCGCGTCGACGCGACGCGGGAGAGCACTCGGCGCGATCAGAGCCGGCATCGTCGTCCGCGACGAACTCCGGGTTACGGGGGTCGTAATTGAGCCTGGGGACCTCCAAGCTTCCTCTGTCACAATGTGCATAGCTGGGATCAATCACGGTGTCGGGGACCCCACTATATCCATGATTTGAAGCAGTCGGAGGTGGGAGACATGAGAGACAGTGCGTGTGGTGCCAAGTACAGCAGGGGACGAAAGGCGTCGCCGGCCATGGAGGTGGGAGGAGGGAGGTGTTCAAATTCAAACACAATAATGCATCTCAGGGTGGGCCCCAGTGGCCTGGGTTTGAGAATCTACCGGTATCGAGAGAGAGAGAAATGTGTGATGAGGAGGAGGAGGAGGAGGAGGAGGAGGAGGAGGAGGAGGAGGTCGAAAGGTACCTGATGGTCACTCCCACATCGATCAAGGCCTTCTTCTCAGGGATGGTATATCCAGGTTCAAATTTCTGCAAGATTACCTTCATTTAGCGAGGTGAAGGAGGTGGAGAAAGCATCTTAATTGAAATCATGAGAAAGATTAAGGCCGTAAAGCTCCGATCAGAAACCAAAAATCCAAATAGCAACTACTTGAATTCGGAAGAAAAGAGCGTCCGATGAGATCGGAGAAAACAAAAGAAAAAGGAAAAGGAATCGGATCGTCTTGCGACCAGAAAGAATCATCGATCTACCTCAAGGCAAATCTCGCAAACGTTGCTCCCCTTCTCGTCGCACCATCTCTGGATGCATTCCCTGTGAGCAAACTGGAGCAAGGGAACAGACAAATCAGCACCACAAGATACGACCTTCTTCGCTCGTGAAACAGATGTAAAGGCGAAGGATACCTTTAGGGTCCCAGAACAGCCACAGGGGGATTCCATGCTCGTGTTCCTCTCTTCCTCCTCCTCATGGCAAATCCTGCAGAGGCACAAGGCAGCGGCAGGAGAACAAGAGGAAGCCAACCCATCGTCATCATCCACGAGCAATCGAATCTCCTCTCTGTTCCCAAACTCCTCCATCTCTAGCTTTGCGTCCATCTATCTTTCTCCGCCTTGGCTCTCCGTGGAAGGAAGAGTATAAATAAGGAAGGGAAATGGTGTCCGAGGAAGCCGTGTCCAGATAGGAAATGACGAGGGTGCCCCCTCTTCGGGGAGTTGGACCAGCGAAGGAGACGGTTGTTGTCTTCCTCCTCCTCTGTCGGCTCGGTCTGCGGTTGGACGGCGGCGGTTGGATGGATCACGTTACAGGTTTTGACCACCAGAATTGAAAGGCTCAACTGCTTGTCCTTCGCCGCAGTAGCCATGAATTGAATCGTTCCACGCCTCTTCTCCACCTAATCTCTTCATCCAATTGCGGACCTAAATACATCGCGCTCGGCATCCGATTGAGCTCCATCGTCACATCGCTTACCTTAACTTCATATATATATATATATATATATATATATATGAAGTTAAGGTAAGCGATGTGACGATGGAGCTCAATCGGATGCTGAGCACGATATATATGAGTGTTTGTGCGCGCGTGTGTGAGACTTGGTGAAGTGAGATCACGCAGGTGGCCCAGTTGGAAGTTGTGCTGTTGGCGTGAACCCGATTTGGGATGATCGGGTAGGCTATTTGGGATCATCCTAGTTGCAAGATTTATCTTTGGGGCTCAGTCGTCCAGGTGTCCTTGAGCGAAGGGTTATCTTGTGGTCACGTCTTGACAACGAAGTTATCTCTTATTTGCCAATGATCCTACATGACAGGTTGACGTCGAGGGTTGCTCGGTGTGGCTCCTCTGATGTTTAAGTTAACGAATGAGAGAAGATAATATTATATGTTGTACGACTGAATAAGTGTACAGAGAATTCTCCCCTCAACATGAGTTGATAGATTTCGTTTTATATCTAATCCCTGGGCTTATTTACTGGCTGATCCGGGATAAAGATTAGGTGAATCGCCTAATCATTCTCTGATCTTAATAAGGTAGAACGGTTATTGCTAGCAAGACAC